ACATGCACCTCTTTGGTAAAGGCGCAGACAAGCTTTAGATTCTGGCCAGTCCCTCCTTAAAGAAAGCTAGGCTCTGGGAGAGCTTCTGTGCTCAGCTTGGATGGGGCAGAGTCTTGGGTTGGTGCAGACAAGCTTTGTTTTCGTACCTTCACAGTACCTGAGGTTCAGTGTGCCTTCTCTCTCCTTCCCAGATGGCAGAGCCTCCTCTCAGCTAGCTGTCCGGTGCTTCAGGGCAATGCCTCCCGTTTTCCAGTTCTAAATTCAAATTTGTTGTGGTAAGCTGCATTCGGGTGTCTACCCTATGCTGCCATCTTGGTTTCTCCTGTACATGATCTTAAAAGCTTGGGAGCATGAGTAGGCTCAGGGACCCAAATATTCTGTCAGCCCCAAGACCTGTTGAGAGGGTTGAAAGTGAATGATCCTCTATGGATAGGTCAAATATGTTATAAATAACAGGTGAGCCAGGGGACAGAGCACCAGAATACCTGTACCCTTGGGAGAGGGGGTGCCTTCCAGTTCCCAGGGACTGAGTGTACTGGGGAAACAAGGGAGAGAAGACCTCTCCCCCCTGGTTGGACCACACTGCTGCTTGAGGAAGTATTGGCTTCCCCAGGGTTTCCAGCTTCACCCTGGCTTTTCTTGTCAAGGCTCTTGTTATTTGCATATAAATACTTGGCTATTAACACTTTAATTCCTTACCTCATGGCTAGAGTTAGCTATGAAATGACATATTTCAAATACCTGCTTTATTAACTAACTATACTAATAAAATGCCAGGTGGACCTCCTGCCCTTGAGCGTGATATTGCCTCAAGATGGCCGCCAGATGATGGCTGCATACTCAGTGGAGGGGTGGCCCTGCGTCCGCTCTGCACAGTGAGGCCTAGGGATCCTGCAGCTCTGCAAGGCATGGAGGAGGCTGGTCCCAGTGTCTCTGCCACCTCACGTGCAGGAGGTGGGTCCTTGTGGTATCCTGTGTTTTCCATTAACACTAATATAATCCTACCTTGCTTATGGTAGATTTGGCATGTAAAAGCATATTGGGGGTAAATCTATAGTATGCTGGGAAGGTGAGGGAGAATTGGAATACAATATTAACTAACAAAACATAATATTTAAGATAATATAGGGCTATCGCTGGCTGGGTTGCTGAGGTGGTTAGAGTGTTGTCCCAATGCGCGAAGGTTGTAGGTTCAATCTGTGGTCAGGGCACATATAAGAATTAATCGGGGGTGAGGGGGTGCCAATGGTAAGATATGTACACATATAATACCTTTAAAAAAGTGGGGGGGGAGAATTAATTTTATTTTGGTCGATTTATAAAAATTATCTAAGTAGAGTCTTAATCTGAATTAATTTTGTTCCCTCAACTCCAAGTAAGTCATTGCTGGCTTTACGCTTAAAATTCCAAAAAATACAGGAGTGATCAGTGAGATGTTGGCTGGCTTACCAAAACTCATTGGAAAATGCAATAAGACTTAGTCAAAAATAAAATAAGGTGTCAGAGAATCATGCACTCTTTGAATGGACTTGAATTAAAGCAAATTTCAAGAGCTTGTTTTCCATGGCATTTGTTGCTGTGAGTTATTTAACATCAGTGGTTCTTTAATAAATAGTATAAGGTAAACAAATAACAAAAATTATGTTTTCTTATTAATTTATTTCTCAGAAAAACAAGCCACTTGACCTTTGAATTTATTCGCTGTTTTCAGTTGATTTTTTTTTTTTTTGTCTTTGCCTTAAATGGTTTTGTTATACATACTTTAGTGCAAGCATGTCAAGCTCACAGCCAGTGGGCCGCAATCTTCATCCCATCAGCCGTGAGTTTGACATGCTTACTCGAGGGGAGTGTTCTTCCTGCTGTTTTATGGCTTGGGAGCATTCCCAGGGACATAGACAGCATTAATTAGTCAGAAAAATAATACTTAACTATGATGTGGATTTTCCCAATCAACAAAAAGGATTTGGGATTTTCAGTTATCTGTAGCTTGAGCTTGAGTTTCTGATTTTCCTCTCATCAATTTTTCCCATGTGGATAGAATCCTACAAAATAATTTCATTTTTAATTAACTGACTTTATCTAGAGTTCTTCAAATCTTTGTCTCTAGTGGTTTGTAGACCAACTACCTATAGCACAACTCCCTGGGAAGGTTAGAAACATGCAGATTTTATCCTGACAGCCCCAAGCTGTGAATTAATTATGGGGTCTGGCTGAGAAATGTTCCTTTATAAAGGTAATAAATAGCCTGGCTCACATGGCTCAATGGTTGAGCATCAACCTATGAAAAAGCAGATTATGATTCGATTCCCCATCAGGGCACATATCCGGGTTGCAGGCTTTATCCCCAGTGTGGGGTGTGCAGGAGGCAGCCAGTCAGTGATTCTCATCATTGATGTTTCTCTCTATCTCTTCCTCTCCCTTCCTATCTGAAAAAAATATATATATATTTTAAAAAGGTAATAATTCTTTCATTCTCTAAAGATTAAGGAAAGTTATATATGTATATGCCATTTTCAGTTAGCTTTATATTAATCAAAAGACCTGAGAAGATTTCTCAATGAAGTTCAAAACCATTCCTGGTACCTGGAGTCTGTATTAGTTTCATAGGTCTACTGTATCAAAATACCACAAACTTAGCTTAAACAACACAAATTTATTCTCTCACAGTTTGGGTGTATAGAAGTCCAAGATAGAAATGTTACGGTACAATATTTATGTGTAGCCAGAGCACTCTTAATTCTCAAAACACCCAAATTCATATCTTGAAATCCAATGCAATAGTATTATTTCATTTGGCAAGTAATTAGGGTTACAGGAGATCATGAGGGGAAGCCCTCATAAATTGTAATAATGCCCTCATAATAAGGGTCATGAAGATCTTGCTTCCTCTGTCTACTCTCCATGTGAGGATGCCATGTGATATCAGCAGTGTACTGTAGGCAACCTATATATGTCTCATATTGATGTTTCTTTCTCCCCTGCTCCCTATTCTCTTGTATCTCCTTAAAATCAATAAACATATCTTTGGGTGAGAATTTAAAAACTAAATCAAACATGACTATTGAGAATTTGAAGGAAATGGCAACATTTTTGAACTGTAAAGTATGTCCCATTGCACACCACTCTAACTGGTGTATTTTGTAGGTCAGCTACTCTTCCTGGAAGCAGTATGGCCATTGGCAGGAAGACTCTCTCAGAATTCAGCTTTGAAGAGGAGCTCACATTGCCAGACTGGACTAGCTCTTCTGAATTTCCTGAGATGCCAGGCCCTGTGGCTTTCTTGGAATGCTCTTCAATACCCCCCAACTCCCCACCTTCTTTTACACCCCCTCCCCACATCCCACCATTTCTGGGCTCTGGGGCCACCCAAGTGTACAGGCCAAATCATTCCTCACTGAGTGGGGAGGAGAGATCCAGAGGAGACAGTTATCTTTTGTGCAGGTGAAAGGAACCACCTGATCCCTGGTGATTCTGGGGGAAAGGTTCACTGTTCTATAGTCACTTTGGCCCCAAAATAATAAAGGTTAGAACCTGAGGTGGGACGGAGGGGTGCTTGGTGGCTAAGGGGCACATGCATGACAGGGCTGCCAATTGTGATTTAGCTGCCAATTGTTGGGCTCCTGTCAGTGCATGGCACTTGCATCCCACTTGTCTGGGTTGCTTGTATGTGCCCCAGTATTTTGGATCGCTCATTGTGCCCCAGTGTCCTGAGTCATTCTCCTTCCCCCATTCGCCTTGGTGGCTCATGGTGGCTCACTGTGCCCCGGACCTCTGCCTGTCATTTCCGGGTTGCACATGGCCCCACAGTTCATGTTTCTGTGGCAGCTATTGTGTTTGCAGGTCTAGGCAGCTCCAATTCAGGAGTTGGCCATGGACTCTATCCTGCTGACCTCCATCCCCTGTGGCCCTCCAAGCCCTGGTCTTGGGATCAGGAAATCCTTCTTCAAATATTGAATTTTCTTCACTAATTTACAATGCCTCAGCTATACTTTCAGAGGCCAATGAGAAAACGGAACCTTCTCCGAAAACTCAGGAGACTTTAGCTCAGTTTCCACCCCAACAAGAAGCCTCAACTCAGTCTATAGTGTCCTCTGAGCCATTGAAATTTTTGTTCGACCACCACCAAGGACTTAAAGATAAGAATCATCCCTATCCTGAATATGTTCAATCTTCAAAGAGTTCAGCTCTACCTACTGTGCCTCTCCCCAATATACAAACTTTGCGAATCCATGGTGAGAGTCATCATTAACCTCCAAAGTCTTATATGGATGTTGAAGTTCAGCCTTCACATCAAAAGGCAACAGACTCACATCCAGATTGGGCTGAAGTTCGACATCAACTGTTGCCTATTGGTGTTAAAGATGTAAGACCTGAGGGCTTTGATAACTTCTGAACCCCCTAAAAAGATTGAGCCATCTGCTACTAGCAAGGCCTCTGCTCACCATGTAAGAAGGTCCAGCTCTGCTCAACCAAGGTAACATCCCTAGGATACAACATCAAAGAAGGTAAGCGGACCCTCTCAAATAGTAGAGTTCAGGCCATCCTCTCAATACCCACCCCGAAGATGAAGCGGCAGGTTCGGGAATTCCTGGAGCCACAGGGTACTGCAGACTTTGGATCCTGGGTTTTGCTGAAATAGCCAATCCCCTATATTCAGCTACAGGGGATAAAAATCCAAGCCTCTCCTGGATGGAAGTAGAGGAAAAGGTGTTCCAAAAGTTAAAGCAGGCCCTTGTGAGTGCTCCACCTCTGGCACTGCCGGACCTCACCAAGCCCTTCCAGCTTTATGTGGCAGAATCTCGGGGGGTTGCCCAAGGGGTACTAACACAAACTCTAGGCCCTGGAAGAGGCCAGTTGCCAACTTGTCTAAGAAGTTGGGCCCAGTGGCCACAGGATAGCCGGGCTGTCTGAAAACTATAGCAGCCACAGCCATACTGGTTAAGGAAGTCTCTAAACTGACTTTTGGCCAAGACTTATAAGTGGTTGCGCCCTCCTGAGCAGACTGCAGCTCCTACAATGAACCCTAAGGTGACATTTCCACTTCCAGAGCCCGTTCAGGCTCAGCAGTCAACCTTTCCACCTTTGGAACTAGAAGTGCCCATCATTCCAGAACCTACATTGGAGGCTGGTGCTACAACCCTGGAGCCAAATCCAGCTCCTGCAAAGCACCTTGAGGTGACACCTCCATGTCCAGAGACTGTTCATGTTTAGCAACCAACCGTTCCACCTTTGGACCTGGAGCTCACCATCACTCCAGAACCCACTTTGGAGGCTGGTGCTACAGCCCTGCAGCAGAATGCAGCTCCTCCAGAGCACCCTGAAGTGACACTTCAACATCCACAACTTGTTCAGGTTCAGCAGCCATCTTTTTCTGAAGTCACAGCCACAGTTCTACCATTTGACGTGGAAGTTACAATCACTCAGCAACCAGAGTCATCAGAGACAGTTCCTCCAGTGACTGAACAGAATGCCACTACGAACATATGTGAGCTCTGTTCCTGCAATAATGGGACACTGTCGTGTATTGGTTTTGGCTCAAACCAGAGACTCCACAGAGTGCCAGTACCAGAGCCCAGCACCTACAATGGCACCTTCACTGTCTTAAACTTGCAGGGAAATGCTTTTCTTACATTGGTAAAGATACATGGAAGTCATACCATTTGATTGAGAAACTAAATCTCAGTGGAAATAATATGAATTATAATACATAAAGATTCATTAAGGCCTGCTTTCCCTCCAGTAATGAAATAGTACTGATAGGAATGCATTTGAATCATTACCTCTTCAAGATCCATATCTTTTTAATTTGCCAGCACTGGCCTGGCTAGCTCAGTCAGTAGAGCTGAGACTCTTAATTTGATAGCTTTTAAATAGTTAGATATGGGAACACAAGCAACATTTACAACACTTGATAGCATTCTCATGACGACTCCTGAATCAGAAAAAGTTATATTACCTAAGCATTTGGCCTGCCACCTCTGCCAACTTAAAAGACAGTCAAACTGCATTGTGATACCGAATGTCTGACTAACACACCTTGTGATGAAGAACTCTTAATAGAAGGACCGCTCATGAAAGTATTACAGTACAAGGCCGGCAGAACACCAGCACTGAGCTGACAATTGAGCCAGAGAGGGCACCCCCAAACAAAAATAGCGACACTTCCTCATTCCTTAAGAGCCTTCAGATGAGACTGCTCACTGAGCAGCAGGAAGTAAAGGTGTCCAATGCAGAGTGGGATGCGGAACAATGGAAAAATGAGAGGATGCAAGCCCCTGGGGAGCAGGCAGGGAAGGAATCAAATGATTTGACAAAAGAAGTGCCAGGATATGAGTACCTACTACAACGAAGTCATCATAGCATCACCTGTGATTGCAGTAGCTTTTTTTTTTTTTCTTTTTTTTTTTTAATTTTCTGCCTTGTGATTTGTCACAGTAAAGAGGCTACAAAAGAAAGCTCCAGGGGCTCTCTTGCAAGTGTCTAGCAGAACAAATCAGCAGAATACCAGCTGGGGAAGGGCAGTTTCTGGAAAAGGCTTTTTCTTTGGCTGAAGAATCTGTTTGCACCTCTCCTGGCCATATTTCAGAGGAAAAATGAGCTGAAGTTCCAAGATGCAGCTGAGAATTGTTCTGGTCAGCAAGACTCGGTCGAGGCAGGGCTCCAGCCAGGGAAGGAATGAGCAACCAGACCCACAACAAAGAATGCAGCATGATACACTTTAGCTAAGCATAACCGTTAGTCATAAAATAGTTCTGTTGCAAGGCTCAACCCCCAGGCAGGCAGGTCCTGTTTCCAGTAGCCGCATGGCAGAACAAACAGACCAAACCAGGTCAAACAGAGACTGCTTAAGCTGAAAATAAACCCCCACCCCAGGTGTTGTATAAACTTCAATTGTTACTGTACTAGTGGGATTTTCTATAGCTTATAACTGACCTTTCTTTATTAAAACTTTAGCCAACCATAATCTGCCAGGCATCCCTAAGACGGGGATAAAAGCAGCATGCTTAGAGTGGGTCGGGGCTCTCGTTGCTTGCTGCTGTGTCAGTTGACACGTGAGCCCGGACTCGAGTTCGTAATAAAGGCTTCCTAAATTCCAATTTGGCTGACTGGTGGTTGTCATTCGTGGGTCGCCCACAACAGAATGAAGCTTTCCTAAAAATGGAACAGGGTGAAGAAACCACCAGAGATAAGATGAATGCATCAGACTCTCCTGGTAAAGAGGAAGCAGAGGAAAGTGAGGGATAAAACTTCCACTGATTGGACCACAGCTTCAGCCTTATTTGATAGACCCTCCCTTCCCCCAACTGGTGTTAAAAATGTGGACCTGGAGATTTTGATAACCCCCCAGCCCCCTAAGAAGATTCCACCATCTGCCACTAGCAAGGTCTCCGATCATCATGCAAAGATTACCAAAGGAGAAAAACCTATATCCCAGCAGGAGTCCCCAGCTCTGTCTACTTCGGAGGCTGGTGCTACAGCCTTGCAGCAGACTGCAGCTCCTCCAAAGCACCCTGCAGTGGCATTTCCACTTCAAGAGCCAGTTCAGGCTCAGTGGCCAACCTTTCCACCTGCGGACCTGGAGCTCACCATCACTCCAGAATCTACTTTGGAGACTGGTGCTACAGCCCTGCAAAGCACCCTGAGGTGACACTTCCACCATCAGAGCCTGTTCAGGCTCAGTGGCCAACCTTTCCACTGTGGACCTGGGACTCACCATCACTCCAGAACCGACTTTAGAGGCTAAGGCATCCCTGCAGCAGAATGCAGCTCCTGCAAAGCACCCTGAGGTGACACTTCCACCACCAGAGACTGTGCAGGCTCAGCAGCCAACCTTTCCACCTTTGGACCTGGAGCTCACCATCACTCCAGGTGATGCAGAGCAAATCAGCAGAATACCAGGTGGAGAAGGGCAGTTTCTGAAGAAGGCTTTTTCTTTTACTGTGACTTCCCTCCCCCGCATCTATAACATACCATTGGACTATCAAGAGTAATCCCCTTTATTCCCAATCCCCAAGGCACAATCTCCCACCAGAGCAGAGAACATGGAACCCATCATTGTTATCTTGTTGCCCAAATACCATCTCTATGTGCTGTAAATGTTCATTGTTAACTAGCCTATACCCTATACCAGACAATGTAAAAAAGCATTTGTCTCTTCACTCTACTCTTTATCCAATCTCAGAGATTTCCCTAATCTACCACCAATGCATTTCATGTAAGCCTTATTTGATAGACCCTCCTTGGATTTTAATGTATAAAATAAACTGCAAAACTGCCATTCTCTGGAGCATTCCCCAATCCATTGAAATTTTGCTTCCTGGCAATTGTTATTAGTTTGGCTCAAATAAACTAATAAAAATTCTTTACAGGTTTGAACATTTCTTACATAGACATATTTTATTGTTTACAGTTAAGCAATTTTGAAAATGCTCCCAAAAATATAAATGGACTTTGTCATATCACTTAAGAAAACATAAAACCACCCCTTCCTAATCCCTGCCCCCTGCCCCTCTGATGTAGTTCAGTGGTAGAGCACAGGCTCATGGACCAAAGGGTCACAGGTTCAACTCCTGATCAAGGGCATGCACCTTGGATACAGGTTCAATCCCTGGCACCTTGGTTGCAGGTTCATCCCTGGCCCTTGTCAGGACACATGCAGGAGACAACCAATTAATGTGTCTCTCTCACATTGATATTTCTCTCTCTCGTCCTTCCTCTCTGAAATCTAGATAATAAAGAGGTAATATGCAAATTGTCTTCACGCCGTGATGGGTAACAACTGAACAGGAGGGCACGCAGTGAGCTACGTGTGGCAGAGAGCTACGAGTGATGGTGGGCTGGGAAGCCAGCTGAGGCAAGTGGCAGCAAGCTACTCGTTCACAGATTTGTGCACAGGGCCACTAGTAAAAATATATTTTAAAGACTAATTATTCTTGCCAAAACTGGTTTAGATAAATGGATGGAGCTTCGGCCTGGGGACTGAGGGGTCACGGGTTCAATTCTGATCAGGGGCGTGTTGCAGGACATCCCCAGTGGGAAGTTGCAGGAGGCAGCTGATTGATGTTTCTCTCTCTCTCTCTCTCTCTCTCTCTCTCTCTCTCTCTCTCTCTCTTTCTCTCTCTTCCTGTGAAAAATCAGTAAAATTTAAAAAAATAATTACTATTCTTAACTGCTACTCTAAAACCCCACTATTTCAGGTGAATACCTTATTGGTCTTTACTAGTCATCTGATGTGTTATGGAATCTTAACATTAGCATTTTCGTGTACAATTTATCTATTTTGCATGTTAGGCCCTCTTGTCTACCCTGGGAGCAGTGGCACCATTCTCTAAATGAGCAAAGCAGGAGGTCATTGTCTTAGCCAAAGTCACATGGTCAAGACAAAATTCAGACTATGTGCCCCAGGTCTTCCTGCCTGGGCGCTTTCATGGCATGTCCTAAATTGACTGAATCCAGGTCCCGTGTCTAGGGAGCGGTCCTCACCTCCCTTGACTCCTGCTCTTTCTAGCCACCCTGGGCTTCTGTCCTTTCATTGACGTAGCTCTCACTTTTCCATTGATCCGTATTCCACTCAGCCTTGGAAACCTTTACTTCTTGCTGCTCATTGAAGCTTCATTAGGAGGCCTGTTCTGAAGATGAGCTCGCCATAGGCCAGTTGCACATTGACCCCAGAGCAGTCCATTTTCAAAGAAGGAATAACATTAGAAATGAGCCTTCCCAGGCCACTGTTGGAGAAGAGGGGCTGTAACTGCTGGCTTAGCTCAGTTTCAAGTCCATCGCCCAGGGATGAGAACAATGGGAAACTGAAGCCTGCAGATCTGGAGGAAAAGGCAGTGATATTCCTGATGCCTTTCGCTGATTCAACTGTTGACATAAAGTTGTTTGTAGTAACAGCAGAATCTGCAGAGATAAGAGGCCTCTGTGCGAGCATCACTCTTGTTCATGGCTGGGCTAGAAAACTAGTTTGAGAATCTCTCTCCCTCTCCCTTCCTCTCTGAAATCAGTAAGAAAACAAATTGTTCCCAATCATTTACATGAGGAAAAGCTCATCCTCATCAGCATCCTGTGGCTCTGCTCAATTTCTTGCCTATGATGAATTGATAGTCTAAACACAGTCCTGAGCCAAAGAGGCCACTTCTCCAGAAACATCCTCCTCAAAAACCAACAGGGAAGGGATTAAAAATGGTGGCAGAGTAAGTGGATGCTGCACAGACATGCTCCCAGGAACAAAATGAAATTACAAATAAAACACAGAAAAACTTCCTGAATAATCAACAGGAGAGAACCCTGATACTTGCGGACCAAAAGTGGAGACTGCAGAGAGACTGCAGGCAACAAGTAACTTCCTATCTAATAAAAGAGTAATATGCAAATTAACCATCACTCCACTAGACCCACAAGCCACACCCACCAGGCAATCAGGAGCAAGAATGCAGATTAACCCAACCAAGATGGCTGCTGCC